GGGATTCAAACCCGCGACCCGCAGATTGCGAGTCGAGTGCCCTAACCACCTGGCCATGCCAGACCTAACGGATTCTAATTATTACAAGTTTTAGCGTATTGATTTCGGATAATAAGTATTTGTAGTTAATTTAGTGTATACAGAAATGTCTTCATTAATTTCAAAAGTTATTTTAGACTTACCTTAAGACTAATCTGTACAATAGGTAACATTTGATCGGAAGTTCTTAAATAATGCACACTTTATAATTATTATTCTGATACATATATAGTTAACAGCTTGTGATCAAAAGTTTTTAAATAATACACACTTTATAGCGTATTATGTCTGCGGACTTATACCGCTAGAAACCGGGTTTTGATACCAGTGGTGGGTAGAGCACAGTTAGCCCTTTGTGTAGCTTTGTGCTTAATAACAAACAACAACACACTTTGTAATTGTTATTGTTCTGTCACATATATATTTCACAGCTTGTGATCAGAAATTCTTAACATTACACACTTAATAATAGTTATTGTTCTGTTATATGTGTATTTAACATATTTACTCACTATTTCGCGCTATCATTTAGCTGGTATTCATTTGAACGAAAGAAACATTCCTGAACTCCGGAGTCCGGCCATAACCTCTTCATGGCACCAAGAAGCTCATCAGAAAACGGCTCTGTGTCTTCCATCCGGGCTACTACGTCAAAAACTAGCTTTGCGTCGGCCTGCAACAGCGAAATACTCGGTTTAAACATTATTATAATTACTTGTTAGCTTTGAAAGAAACTTAACATTACTAAGATTACCAGTTTAATAGCTCATCCGAGTCCAGACGCAAAATCCCAGTTTTTAAAATACTACATTTCAAGTAATAAAATTATTCTCAATTCATCTATATAATGATTCTTACAGCTGTTTTCTACAGATAAAAACATATAAAATATCCGTTCCGTAAAATCATGTAAAAACATTTAAACCTAAAATAATAAAAAAGATAAAAATAATTACGAACATGTTTTTGTCACATGATGCGCGTTATAAGCTACAGCATTATGGTAACGAGACATGAAGAAATTAAAGTATTTAAAATAATCGCATATAGAATTGAACAGTTCCAATCTTTGCGAAAATTATCTACCGACATTTGACCCTTAGAAGTAACAATGTTTTTTTTTAATTATTTAGAATAACACCCATAAGAGTGGCTCATTTAAACCAGTTATTCCTTAATAAAGGGTATTCCATTGAACAATGGTAATATTTATGTTATCACCATGTTTAGTACATCAGTATGAATAAAACATGCAAAAGTTGTATGGTTGTCTAAAATCACCATGCTGTGGAGTTCAGAGTACTGGCTATAGAAAACTACATATATAAAATATTGTTATGTATCTGCTTGTTTGTTAATTTCCGGTGGAAATTCTTTCCCAGGAACTTCAGCGATACAAGTCCTTTCTTTATTAAACCAGTTTATTTTTCATCGATACTAACTTTAGTACACGGTAATTCCACAGTCAGCACGTTTCTCGTCACTTTAAACTTAACAACTTTTATAATACACGCTATAAATCACAGTGATTCACACACTTAACTTACCGTCACTTCTGTTCGCTTCTTTAATTAGCTCTATCTATCTCGCTGGCTTCTCTGCCAGGCTTATATACTAAGAAAGGGGGCGTCTCGAATACACTCGGGTCTTCCCAATCATTCGAGAAATTTATCACTTGTCACCAGCGTCACGTGACTTCCGCTGTCATAACAATATGTTCAATATGAAATGTGTAATATAATGCTATATGTGAACATTGGGCAAAGTTATCTGATTTTTAGACCTGTAACTGATTATATACGTGACACCATGGCAAAAAATAACAACAAAATCTCCAGCTATATGTTTGTAATCTACTTGATATATATTTGTTTCTTTATTATTATGATGTGGGATGGTTAAGATGATTGACGACTAATCTGCGGATCGTAGAATCGAAACTCATTACCAAACATGTTCGCCTTTCCAGCCATGAAGACGTTATAATGTGACTATCAATCTCACTTATCATTGGTAGAGAGTAGCCCAAGAATTGGCGGTGGGTGGTGTTGACTAACTGCATTCCCTTTAACTTATCACTTCAAAATTATAGACGCTAGAGAAAATAGCCCTCGAGTAGCTTGGCGCGAAAATTCAACACGCCATCTAATTGATTATCATTTTAAATGTATCCTACCATATGTTATCAAAACGTTGACCCAAAATCTAATATTCTCAATGATGCATGTTTCAAAATGAAATGTAGAGTCTGAGTGATCTTTATAGGAGACTTGGATGAAAACTGAGTTACGTGGAGCAATTTAACACATTTGGCTTTGCAATCATGAATTTTTCACGTAAAAAATTCATAATAGTAATAATAATAAGTAAACTACCTAAGAATACAGTTAAAAATTCGTTGCAACTATTTATTAAAGCATTTTAAGGTGATTTGGAATATCAAATGTAATAGCAAATATGTAAAAGTACACGAATTTAGGAAATTTTTAATAATTACTCATGCAGGAAAAAGTTTACTAATGAATGCTACATTTTACCAAATGTAAAAGCATCATTGCTAAGGATATATTATGTTAAATAAGTACAAATATTTCAATAGATTTAACTACGATGGTTTAAATGTGATACTATATCAATCATATTTTACGTTTGAATTACTTGAATGAAGTGGGGTTTAAAATCTGTTTTTAAAATTATTCTTGATATAATCAAGTAAATAAAGTAAAAAACATAAAACTTTTAAATTTATTGAAACCTTGTGGGAGAAAAAATCGTCAATAAATCTTTTGAATTTTGATTAATAGCTTCTTATCGTTTTTTTTTTCTTCACTAAAATGTGAACTTCCGTGAAGAAAATATGATGTATAGGCCTAATGCAGCCTAATTCCCAGTGCAACAGAATAGTTTTTTTATCGTGTTCGTCAACACTTGACATCAGTATAACTTTTAATTTCCTCTTGTAGTGTGACAATGATGATCATCAGTAAATGGGCATGTCAAGGTCTGTTCTATATATCGGTATTTTCGACTAAATATAACGAAACTTATATAATTAAATAGCTTTGGTTCGACGGTGCTGTACTGTTTGAACGTAATTTTCGGGGTATATATAGTAAAATGTCTATATGAGAAGTCAATACCAAATAAAAATCAAATTTCTCTCGATAATGGAATATTTTATCTTGAGCTCTGAAACATTTACACGTTTCTAGGCATTTGCATTGTTGTTTCTCCAGGAGTAGGGCTTGACCCAACGCGATGAGTACGTGGCTTAATGTGTAGAACCTTCTTGAAAAATTAGAAAACTATTTCAATAGTATAAGACACAAGTTAGGTTAGAGTAGATGATGATGATTGATTTTTGGGTCTGTTACAGAGGAAGGATTAATTACTGAGTCAACGAGTTTGTTAGTACTTTGTCTTTTACTGTGCAGCACACAATCGGTTCAGTTTTGTGAATACTGAGTTTGTGTTCCATCTAGAAACACGAGAAGTACTTATGATCAAGGAAAGTAACAAGCAAACGAAATTTAAAGTGTTAGCGTCTACTATGAACTTGGACCTATCATTGAGTATTTATAAAGCGAACTTATGAAACTTAAAGTTCCAGAAACGAAACATTTTCGTTATCAAAAGAACCCGTCATAAAATAGAAACCATTACACTAATATGTAAATTTTCCAAATTTGCAAGAAATTACACATTTTCTAAATGCTCTGTTTTAAAGCCAAAAATCTCACAAAATTGTACTGAACTTACTTGAAAGAGTTCTCAAAATTAATTATGCTAGTTCTTTGATTACTCCCTCCACGTTTTCTTTTTATATTAACTTTTATACTTATAGAATGTTGAGCAAATGGTCCAATGACACGGAAATTGTCCTCAAACGTGTAAAAGTCATAGCCATTTTCTGTACACTCAATGACACACATGCTAATGAGGACAAACCATCAGTGTCCTTTTTGGGCAGTGCTATTCCTTCGGAAGAAATACTGAATGTCACGTTTCCACAACGCTACAAAAGAACTATCTGCGTAAGCCCTCTCCAATTTTGAATTTATAGGCTAAATGGAATGCAGTCGGTCAAAAGAACCCACAGTCAGCTATTGGTCTACACTAATTAAATAGTGGGATTTCACTGTCAATCTTATAACGCACTCATTGCTCTAAATTTCTGAGCGCGAGTTTGTAGCAACACGACGTGAAATAGAAAAAAAAAAAAAAACTGTAACTGCCGTTGGTGATAGACTGAGGGAAAAGACGATTGGATGAGCTTTTCTGAGGTTACCGATTCCTTCAACTGTATTCAGCATTCGACTGTCTTCAATCGCATATGTTAAATATATTATAAAGTATGGCAACAAATAATTAGCTAGGGAACTACTTAACTGAAAGTCACACGAACGAATGTTATTGCTTACAACAACTATAAAGAATTGCATGTTGTTGTCTGGTGTGTCGCATTTCATACTTGTCTGTACTAACGGTGGAGTAAAAATGTAGAAAAAATCACAGTGTGCACACAAAATTGCTTATTTTACGACATTGCCAGCTCTTGGAGATTGTATTATAGTAAGGAGAACGTTCTTGCGGTAGGAATTAGGTCTTATGGTCCTTTTAGATAAGCGAACAGCATCCAGAGCAGAAAACATGTGAAGGTTTTTGCCTATCATGTCTATCAGACAGTGATGTAATTCTATTTCTACAACACTTGTGCTGTTTTAAATTGGTTTTAAGAGCAAGAATGTGACCTCGGTCATCTTTCTTGGACACTGCAGTCAATGGACTTCAATCGGAATGAACATCTTTGGGACAAGTTTAAATGTCGTATTCAGAACTGTCATCTTTTGTTCACATCTGTGAAACAGATACAGCTCATACTTCTTGACTAAGGGGCTACAATTGGAAAAGACACGTTCTGGCATTTTGAGGAACTTATGTTACGCTAAGCCCAGGATATGAACGTGGCAAAAAAGGAGTCTAGGTCTAAGCTAATACGAGATGATAGCCCTCATAACGTGTGACAAGTTAATGTAATACATAACGTATAACAGCAAATACAAATGTTTTAAAAATATTGGTACTGCAATTTATGAAGAAGTGAATCAATCATTTGGCAGCCGCTGTAGCTATAATGGTTAACGTAAGGAGCTGCGGATCGAAAGGTCCGAAGTTCGAGCTGTGGTGACCCTGAGCACGCTCCACACCTTCAGCTATCGGCATGCTATAAAAGTGGCAACCAATCTTGTTATTCGGTTCAAAGAGCTGGCCAAAGTCCTTGTGGCGGTGATGTTGGTGACTGGCTGCATTTCCTCTGATTTACAGTTCAAAATAAGAGCAGTCATTCTGGAACCCTAAAATCTCTGATCTGTCTACTTAGCCCATTTGTCGCATAAGGTGTCATTTAGGTTGAAAATTCCGATTCCTTACACATGTCATCATACAAACCCCATTCAACCCCATTCCGTTAAGGTACTATATTAGATAAAGCTTCCAGTCGTATAATTGTTGTCTTTAGCACACTGACATGGGATATTTTGCAGACTTGTAGATACTGGTTAATACCTAGGTCACGGTAAAAGTCTTAATATTCATTTGTAAGTAGAAATAAGTAAACATATTCTTAATAGTCATTTGTAAGTAGAAATAAGTAAATAAAGTCTTATGGTAATT